AGCAATTACATAATTTTGGAACGAACGGTATAGTATGTTACTTTGCACAATTAGTCACATAGTGGGTTAGCCTAGGGCAATGAATGAATCAACTTTCCATGTGCTCTCATAATGGTTAATTTAAAATTTTGAAACCATTATTGTATCTAAGGCTCAATTTGGAAAGAGTACAAATGCAAATATGCACCGTACAAATACATAAAAAATACAAGATTTTGCACTCTACATATTTGTATTTGTACTCCTTCCAAATGGAGCCTAAGGAATGAGGATCTCAATTTAGATCTAGAAATTGGTATAAAACCTATTCTCATTGAGAAAATATATTAGGATGAATTTGAAGTGGTAGCTTGGTGAAAGTGTTGAAAAAGAACAACCACTCAAAACATTCATTCCATTGGAGCAATAAAACCATGCTAGTAGTTTGTTTCTAGCACAACTTTGGGGTTTTTTCATAATTAAAGCAACTTGTAATAAGTAAGTATACTTTAACAATCAAAACTAATATCAATCAAAGCTCACAAAATGGATAGTCAATATGATTCCATTCCAACTTAGTGATCTAAAGTCACCTTAACTACATTGGTAACATAAATTAACTGCCATACTTTATGAACATGCATTTGAAAATCTACTACTTTAAAACCACTACCATTATGACAAAAACTATATGCTTCCCAAAGCGCTTTCATAAAGTTGTCCTCTAATACAGATATTTCCTTCTCAAATTGTTCTAGAACCTCTCTCTTCAATCCACTTTCTTATACTGGGTTCATTTATCCATCTATTTGTTACATGTGCCAATTCAAACACATCATCAAAATTATAAGGAATACCCCATCCAAAATAGTTATATTTTCTACTTGCATAGATGAAGTACATCTTGTCTTTTATTATCATCTTGACTGGATATCTTTAGTGTAACATTTGGCTTGAGTGGACATTTGCAATGATGGTTCACATATTTCAACACACATGCTTTAGAACTTGAAGAAATCTGACTTGTAAGCACCACTTAGCAAATGTTCTTACCTGTTATGCAAAATAAAAAAGAATAAGATACAACTTAAATTTTAAATATGAATATCTTCTACAAATGCCACATATCAAACTAGCATATGCATTGTTGTTTATTTCCAATTCAATTTGTTCAAGTTTTAGTTGGATTAGATAAAGCAACCATGGGTATACTAACAGATCTAGTAACTAATAAACAATACTTTTGCCTATATTATGTACTCATACATTATTTTCTTCTTGGCACAAAACTTTCTGAACATGATGTTGGATGGATAGGAAGCAAATGTTTCTCAGAGCACTATGATTAAAAGTCCCTATCTCCTCTTCTAGAACAATGCTTCTCAGAGCACTTGGGTAAATAAAGTCATTGTATGAGAGCTCTCAATCATTTGGAAATATACACCTAACTAGTGGATCTGTTGTTCTCTGGGTTGAGATTAATGTAAATCTTGGGCATATGTTTCAATGCAGATATTGGTGTTGGTCGGTTTGTGAGCCATCCAATTAACCGGTCTAGCATTTCCATTCAGAATTAAAAAAGAAGAAATAAGCGAATGAGTGTTATCCATTAAAGAAATAACAACAAGAGACGTCTAAAATCCAACAAAGAAACTTAGGGAAATTGGCTTACTAGTACCCTATGCCTTCAACTAGAAACAAATAGGGGGAATAAGGTAAAAGTATAAATTAAACGGAGAACTTAGAGAAGTTTTGAAAGACTTAAATGTAATAGAACCAACGAGAGTAGAATGATGGTAGTTGCAAATGCCGGGGATAATCGAATTCCAATAAGTTGAAAATCGGATTACAAGTTGGGAAGATAAGGTTCAGAGAAGTGATTATGGTTTCAAATTTTTAAACGGTGAGCAGAGAGAAAATGTTCAATGAAATCAATACGAAACCCCCAAATTGGGAAGATAAAGAGAGAAAAGTTCAGAGATGCAGAGAGAGAATAAGGTTCAGAATACATTCCAAAATGCAGAGTTAGAGAGCAGTTCGATGAAATCAATACGAAACCCCCAAGTGACTTAAAATATTAACTTAAAAATAAAACATTTTTTTAGAGAGCAGAAAATCTTTTTCATTAAAAGACTCACCTGTAGTAGCTTCAATGAGAGCAATACGATGGTAGTTGTGAATGTTGGAAATAATCGGATTACAAGTTGGGAAGATAAGGTTCAGAGTTTTAAATTTTTAAACGGTGAACAGTGTTCAGAGATAAAGAGAGAGAAGTTCAAAGACGTAGAGAGAGAATGAGGTTTAGATAAGAATGAAGGAGAAATGAGGAGATGGTGATTGACATTTCAGAGATGAACATATTTGAAGACAAAGACAGGGTTCAGGGACGAAGAAGAGAGAAAACTATTTCTGGAATTGAGTTTGAAATTATTTTGGGAGCCACCCCTCCGTTAGTTCCCCACACATGTCAAAGTGTTTTGCGTGTGTATGAACAGGTGTTATCTTCTCATGCGGTGGTCAGCTATGTGGTCATACAAGCATGGTCAGCAGATCTGGACTCCATGCTTTTGGTGTCTTATTGATGTGGCAATTTAAAAAAAAGATGAAAACAAGTATTCATTCATGCTTTTATTGTTTTATTGATGTGGCAATTTAAAAAACAAATGAAAACAAAAACATTAATTCATGGTTTTGTTGTTTTGTTGATGTGGTAATTTAAAAAAACGAATGAAAACAAAAACGTTCATTCATGTTGTGAAACAAAGGGATTTTGAAATGAGTCTGGGTCTCCTGCATTTCCATCCCATTCAGTCTATGGCAGGTTTCTCATTACACGTCTGTAAATACTCATAAATGTGAGAGAACGTATGTAATGAGTCGCCTGTCAGGCTGTCACATAATGAATAAAAGTGCAATAAAAACGTGCAGGAGATCAAACATTTATGCAATTGCCTTTAAGGCATCCCACCAGTCCACCACTGGGTTTGAGTCGCAACCTAAGGATCTTCTTACCACTTTTCTTTGGAATTGATGTTGAAAAGTACTTCTGGACGATACAGGGTAATATGGTTTAGGGAATGTGTATGGAATAACAATACATCATCCATAAATTAACGATCAACAATGGCAACGATTTACGTGATAAGATTGTTTTAGTACCTTGGCACTTGGATTAGAGCAGAAATGGAAATGGAAATTAGAGACAATCTTTTGATCGGGAATATAAAAGAATTTGGGTAAAACTAGAGAGACGTTAGAGAATTTTGATGTTTATTCCTGATATACAACACCGGTTTTTCTGGTCTTATTAACAAGATATTATACTTCGATCATCATCCTCATATAAGCCTTATTTTCCCAATTACAGAGGAACACAGTCACACATAATATTTTGATATTGTACTAATTTGTTGATGGTATTAAATATCCGAAGCTGATTAAGTCTGATCTAAACCAGGTGAAGACGGAAAAAAGAATTTAAATATTAACGAATCAAATTTAAAAAAGATCATTTAATTCAACCTGGTTGGTCAATGACCAAGTAATTGAGAATCACGCCAAATCACTAAATCAAAACTGAAATTGCAGGCTCTCCGTGACATGGTCAGTGAGCCTTGCATGCATCTTACTCCAAGGTTCAAAATATCAATATAGGGCGATACACCGGTAGGCTGTATCAGCTTGCATCAGTACTGTTCCTTTTTTTATTTATTTTTTCAAATCTGGTTCAGAGGGGCCGGTCTAAGGCTGATCTACCCTCTGAACCACTCACCAATCCAAAACACCCCCTATAGGAACATATCGAAGGCTCCGATACGATATGTATCAGCCAATACGTGATGATATTTTAAACCTTGTCTTGCTCTGTCACCATCTCCTGATTTTCCACTAGTGTAGTAACAAAGAATAAATATCATTCCATTTGCAGCCCTAACATTTTTTGTCCTACTTGTTGGTGAGGTTAGACAATTGGCTCAGCTGGTAAGGTCAATGAATACAGACATTTCCCACTTACCTGATTTCGAAGCTGAAAAAACCCTTCCATATTGATAGTTTGTTAAAGAAAAAACCTAGTATGATGATTAAGTCTAAAAAAGCTGAAATAAAAATGTTGGTTAGGTCAGGGATAAAAGGTGAGTAGCAAAATGTAAGGAACAGAAGGTTTCCTGATCTCTCCAGATCACTTTTCGCAGGTTCACTGCAAGAGAGGATCCCCATCCCACAATGCAAGATGGAAAGAAACCATAAATTTGGTGACCAAGTTTCAAGATGCGACTTCCATTGAACAAATGCCCAAGATAACAAGTCCAGAGTCCCTCACCTTATATCCAATAATGGCTACAGCACCTAATTGCAGCTAACACAGCCTACACGTACCCAAAAAACGGTACATATTAGGTAACGTAGAACGGTAGAAGGGCTACCCTGTTAAAGATACTTGGAAGCAAAGAATGATCAGGTCACTTTTTCCTTTCAAAAGCATCTCGTCCGTCAGCATTATTTCAACCATCCAACAATGCGCAGGGTCGCAGACCTCAAGGATGGTGTGTACTTTAAGACGAAGGAACTGACCTTTTCCTTCTTATATATAAAACTCATCAATGTTGTTCATATCATCATTGTCTAAGCTTTGTCCCAACTATATGGGGTTGGGTTGGCTACATGTTCAGCCATTCCATTCGGTTCGGTGCCATTTCTATCATTAAATTATGGGCACTTAAAATCATTCTTATCACTTGCACCCAAGTCCTTTTCAGTCTGTCCCAACTCTTCTAACTCCTTCCACTTGTAACAACTAACAAATCACTTTTCCTAACACGTGCTGTCGATGGCATCAATGATGTTAACCGAATGTAATAGAACAAATGCTTCACCAACCCCTTGGACCTGAGAAACCAATCCCCCCTTGTCATTTCTGTGAGCACATCCCTGGCATTTAACCATTATGCCACTCATCCCAATTGAGTTTGGATAGTCATTATTCCATACAATAACCATAATTTTTAAGATTCCCATATGGATTCACAAACATTTTATGCTGAAAATAACATTCCTAAGCTGAAGAATAATGTGTCTTCTAAAATACAAGCAAGAATTATTTCATGTTATTGAGGGTTACAAAAACCTACAGAAGGGGCCAGATTGATGGTTTCCTCAACAACAATAAAAAATGGGATCATAATATAATTATAGACACAGTTGGATGATTATTTCTCCCATAAAAAAATGGTTCCCAATTTTGCATACATACTGGTGAAATGTGCAGCTGAAGGAACATTACCTTTCAAAAATCATTGAGAAGCACATTTCCAAAAATCGAAGGGTTTCCGGTGCTGAAACAGAAAATTGCATCAGAGCAATAACAAGTTTCAACAGTATGGAAAAACGGTTCTTAACAATTTATTCCTTTAGTGAGAACAAAAGGTTTATTTCTTCCCTTTCCACTCTCTTCCAGGGGTAGTTTAAATTAATAAAAATATCTTGATTCTTGAAAGAGAGGAAATCCAAGCAAAGGGAGAAGGATTGGAAAATTACCATGCACTCTGCCTCCATGCATTTGTTATAAACATGCACAGGGTGCACTGAAGCATTTAATTTCAAGCATTCCACTCCTTTTAGCTTCTCCATTATTCTGTCTTTTCTAATGGATCATAAGCTTTCCTACTCTTCAGACAATGAAATGTCATAAGGTACAACTTAAGTAACTTACCTCAGATATTGGCATCCTAGTCCTCACTGAATCAATCAATGAAAAATCAATGTCAGCTACAGCAAGGCCCGTTGATGATCGATCTGAAATAACATTTATAAAATGATCAGTGATGAGTAGAACAATAAATGAAACCTAACATCATGGTAACAATTATAGTTACATAACCACTTTGTCCATGGTTTTCAATTTTATTAATTGATATTTAGATTGTTTATCAGTATAATTAATAAGAAATGTTCTTAAATAGAAAAGATAATATGAGAAGTAGAGAAAAAAGCACAAAACACAGACCTTTACAGTATGCAGGTATACTTATCAGAGAAATCACTTTTTCCACATTTACCACTAAATAAAAGAAGACCAAAGGGCAAAGACCAACAAGCTATAACTGGAACTAGTTCTCACCTGGCAGCCGACTGACAACTTTTCCCCATGGATCAATTATTAAGGTGTCACCATAACTTTCTCTTTTATCATTATGCCATCCAGCTTGCGCAGCAGCAATAACCTGATGAAACCTATAAAAGTTAACTTCCAAAAACCTATAAAAGCAGAAACCCCAAAGGATTTTAGTCCCATCAAGCCTGTAGGAAGCCTGTATAAAATTATTGCTGAAGTCCTAGTGGGAAGATTGAAGACTTGCTTACCCCTAGTGGTATCTCAATTTCAAAGAGCTTTTGTTGATGGGAGGCAAATAGTGAACCAAATTCTGGTGGCAAATGAGTGTTTAGAGGAAAACAGAAAAGGAGGAAAAGGGTTGATCTGTAAGTTAGACCTAAAAAAATCCTATGACATGGTAGATTGGGATTTCCTTCTAGGTTTGTTATAAAAGATAGGGTTGGGGGAGAGATGGAGAAAATGGATCAGAGGTTGTATAAGCTCAGTACATTTCTCGATCATGACCAATGGGATTGCTAGAGATTTTTTTTTTTCCAGCAAAAGGAGGGTTAAGACAAGGAGACCCATTGTCCCCTTTGTTGTTCACTCTTATAGCTCAAGTCCTAAGTAGAATGATCACCAAAGATGGCTTGGACAATTTGATTAGGGGTTGAAGGGTAGGGAGGAATAATGTGATTGTCTCTCATCTACAGTTTGCAGATGACATAATAATTTTTTGTGAAGACTGAAATGAGAGAATAGGAAATCTAAGGGACTTGGTCAATGAATTTCAAGTTTGAAAGTGAACTGGGATAAGAACTGTGTGGTAGCAATTAATTTGGATGAGGGAAGCATTCAGTTATTGGCTGGAACTCTGGGTTGTGAGGTATGCTGCAGAGAAGAAGACCTTTTGCTTGCCTTTTTCCTCACATGTCCCTTTGTAAGGAAAGTGGTGAGGCCCTTTCACATTTATTAATATCTTGTTCTTTTGCGCATCACATTTGGGAGTTTCTTTTGTGTTCTCTTTGGTTGCAGGTGGATTCCCCCTCAAGAAGGACGGTAATTTCTTTTGTGTTCTCTTTTGTGTTCTCTTTGGTTTCTTTTGTGATTTCTTGAGCCAACCAAAGTAAAGAAGGACGGTAATGTGGAAAGCTATGAAGGCAGCAATTTGCTGGTTGGTATGGGAAGAAAGGAATAACAGAACTTTCTTGGAGAAAAGTAGAACAGTGGAGGAAGTGATAGACACTATAAAGGTCAAAGTAGCTCATGGGTAAAATCTGCATAGCTTTCAAGATTTTTCAATCACAAACATTCTAAGAACCTGGACAGAAGTAAACATAGTCTTCAAGAGTGAAAGAGAAAGTAAGGATGGAGTGGAAACCTCCAGAAGGCAATAGGATTAAACTGAATTTTGATGGGAGCTCCCTTGGAAATCCGGGACTATCAAGTATAGGAGGAACAATCAGAAATTCTGAAAGGAGGACATTGGCTTTGTTCTCAGGATCGATTGGCACTGGCAATTCACTAAAAGCTGAGTTATTGGAACTAATACAAGGGCTGAAGCTAGCTAAGCAGCTAGGACTTAGGCATATTGAGGTGGAGGGGGACTCAAGAGTGGTCATCTCTTGGGCTACAAACAATAGACGTACTTCGTGGACCTTCAAACATGTGATTAGGGAAGTGGAAAGATTGCAAAGGAGGTAGAGGGTGATTTCAAATGGGTCAGAAGGAGTGCAAATGGGCTAAATGATTCTCTTGCCAAACAAGGGGCATTGAGGCAACAATTGTTTTGGGCTACGCTGTAAAGTAGGACAGAAATATGTACTAAATTGGGAACAACATTCCCATCTACATGTTGTAAAACTTTGTCTTAAACATATTTTAAATAAAATTCTCCTTTACTGATTAAAAAATAAAAAAAAAAAACTCTAGGTTGTGAGGTGATAGATTGGCCCCTAGAATACCTTGGACCAAGGTTCAAAATATCGATACAGGCCGATATGCCCTACCGGTATCGGCCTGTATCAATACTGTTTATTATATGTTTTTTTTTCAAAACTGGTTCAGAGGGGCTGGTTTAAGGCCGGTCTACCCTCTGAACCACTTGCCTACCCGAAACACCCCCTGTAGGGGCATATCGGGAAGGCTCCAATACGATACATATCAGCCGATACAGGCCAATACGTGACGAAATTTTGATCATTGCCTTGGACTACCACTGGGGGGGGGGGTGTGGAACCCAAGAGCATAAAGTTTTTGGAAGCTTGTCCTAAAAAGGTTTGGAAAAAAACTGGCAATGTGGCAAAGGAATGACATTTCTTTGGGAGGAGGAATAACATTAATTAAGTCCACAATAGCAAATTTTCCTATCTACTACTGTCTACCTTTAGGATCTTTGTCAAAGTAGCTAGATAACTTAGCTAGAAAAGATTATGAGGGATTTTTTGTGGGAACCAGGGGATGAAAGGAAGGATCACTTGATAAAATGGAAACAAGTTTGGAAATCTAAGGAGCAGGGTTGATTAGGAATTGGGAAATAAAATGAGTCACTCATCTCTTTGATTTCCTCTTCGGAGACCATTTTTTTGGACCAAAATACACCTGATGCAAGGGTATGGATCATGTCCCCTAATGGTTTGTTCTCTTGTGCTTCCTTCTTTAATCTTTTAGTTCAGTCTAATTAGGGGGGAGGGGGTGGTTTTTCCAGTAAAGGAAATCTGGTGTAAACCTATGCCTCCTAAAGTGCAAGCTCTATGTTGGGAAGTGTTCCTTGGTAAGATCAAAACCTGTGATATGTTGTAGGAAAGGAGCCCCAACACTTGCCTCTCTCCTCATGTGTGTGTTTTGTTTAAGGCTAGTGGAGAAACTATACTTCACTTACTAATCTCTTGTCTTCTTGTGTTTTGCATTTGGGAATGTGTCTGCTCTCTTTTTGGTTGCAGATGGACCCCCCTCCCCCACACACACACACAAGAAGTGGTAAGTTTATATAGAATTTTCAGTGAGAAAAGCAAGACAAAGGAGGTACTAATTGCAGCTATTTTAGTTAGAGCTGCACATTGGGTAAAAGCTTTGGAGATTTTCAGAGTGTTTTCAGTCAATGACATTATTAGATCTTGGTCTGAAATAGTGCAAACAAGTGGATAGACACATTTAAAAGGTCCAGTTGGATTGGAAGCTCCTGACTGTTAATAAGTTGAAACTGAATTTTGGTGGTAGCTCTATGGGCACCTGGGAAGGGTAGGCATTGGGGGTGTTTAGAGATCATCAAGGTCTGGCACTGTTACAAGGATTGAGATTAGCATAACTAGGTCTCAGGGGCTTAGAAATTGAAGGTGACTCAACTAGTAATTCATTGGGCAAAACAACTCAAAGCAGCACCTTGGAAATACAGACATGCTTTTAGGGAAATTGAGGTCATTGCAAAGCAATTAAATTCAAATTTCAGTTGGGTGAGAAGAACAGCAAATGGGTTTGCTGATGTTCTAGCTAAACAAGGAGTTAATAGACCAAATCTATTCTGGGCAAACTTGTGAACTTTGGGACTGAATTATTCCAACAATTGTACTAAAATTTCTCATTGATATAATGAATCTCCTTTGCTGATAAAAAAAATATATCATATGCAAATTAAGATATGAAATAAACTTGTTACAGCCTTACCATATGATGCACTTGCAGTTGTTGGAAACAAGAATCAAGAAAAATAGACATATGTCATTTGTTATTGTAAGAAATCCTACATTGCATCATGAAACAACAGAAGAAGTTTAAAAGGAACTGCATACATAGCATTGAGTCTCAATTGCACGAGAACGAAGGAGAATCTCCCAATGGGCTTCTCCAGTCACCTTTGTAAAAGCTGAAGGCACTAACAGAACCTGCAGAGAAGGTTTCACAAGGCAAATGTTAGAGTACTAAAGATTTTCAAATTAAATCAAGATAAATGTAGTGTAAGCAGATACAAAGGACAATGTAGGACAGCACCACTGTAAAGCTAAAGAAAACCCATTTTGACCTGTGCTTTATGTTGAAACCGCAACTGCTGATAGAGATCTGGGAATCTCAAATCATAGCAAACTGTCAGACCTAAACGTCCAATGGGGCTGTCTGCAGCAACAATGTCCTTCCCTGAAAACTGCACCATGTTAAAAGTCCAACTCTCAAAAGTCATACGCCCCTTATTAATGCCAAAGCACAAGCTTACATGGTGAAACATGATTAGGGAACATCAGAATTTAATTGTCAATATAAAAACGAGAAAGAACACAGACAGAAATACATGCTCAGCTGTTTAGACATGGCTCACAATCAAGGTGTGCAGAACCCACAATTCCACAGTAACTAATTCAGAAAATTTAACTTGCCACAGCAGAAGAATATAACCATCAGATGCCCCCCCCCCCTTTACTTTTCTTCCTTTATTCCAGAGATCTAAGCAAGAGCATTGGACTACTGATCCTGATCAATTCATGTTTATGTCACAGGCGCAAATGTACAGACAACATTGTCAACTGTGAATAAGAGTTGTTTACAAACCAGAACAACATAGATCAAAAAAGAATTAACCAACAACTGCCAATATTTGATAAATAAGTAGATACCAAAGCTAAAGGATAAAAAAAATAATTACTACAAGGTTAATTATTGAATACCTGCTTTAGAAAAACTACTCTCTTTGTATACCATTCCACCTGGAACATCCACGTCAAACCTTCAAGTAGAAAGAAAGACATTGCTTAGAGTTTATTATGTCAATGAAGCCATCTATACTCTAATGATAAAAGCTTGCAATTGCAATGACAAAATGCACCTACATAGCATAAAGAGAGTTTATAAATCCAAATTACTTGAACTTGAGGGAATAAAGTAATATGTTTGTAAACTAAACACTTCCACTAAATAAAAAAAAAAAACTACCTTCTCTGTGCATTGATTACCTTCTCTCCCACTCTCTTCCTTGGTCATTCTATCTAGTAACAAAACCGAAATATGCCATTGGATAAGAGGTACCCAATCCATCTTAATATAGTGTGCCAGWKSTAMCA